ATATATATATATACTACTACTACACACACACACTATATATATATATATATATATATATAATATAAAGTAAGTGTAGTGTACTATATAATAATATATATATATATATATNTGTGTGTGTGTGTGTGTGTGTGTGTGTGTGTGTGTGTGTGTGTGCGTGTGTGTGTGGCCGGTTGGCCGGGTGTGTGTTCGTGTGTGTGCGTTTGTCGGTCTGTCTGTGCGTTTTTGTGTGTGTATGTATGTGTATGTGTATCTTTCTCTCTGTGTGTGTGTGTGTGTTTGTTTGTCTGCCTGTATGTTTTATATGTGTTTGTGTGCGTGTGTATGTGTGTGTCTGTATGTCTGTTAGTGTGTATGTATCTGTGACTGTGTGTCGGTGCGTCTTGTTTGTGTGTGCATTTGTGCGTGTTTTGTGTGAGTGTATAAGAACTTAGTATTAACGAGTGGTTACTAGTATGTGCGTATAATTCACTAGCATCATCGTTTTCAGCAATTACATGCGTATCAAAAACTAGTCCTTTCATACTTATCGCCACTTTGGTCACGTTGGTCGCTGGTCAATGACTACAGATAAATTCCTTTTCATAACCTATTGTATTCACCAACATCCACGTGCAGGTAACGAATACGGACAGCCAGGACTCGTGGATGTCTCAGACATTCGAGCGTGAGCCCAAACGGACCAAAACCAGCATCACTGCCGCACACTTCACCACTGTACGCCATTGAGGAACTACTATGCGAATGTGCAGGAGTGTGTAACATGTACGGCGTATAGCACCACGATGCGCAATATACGAACTACTATGTGAATGTACGGGAGTGTGCGTAGTCTACCTTCTGTATAGGTCATGTATGTGACGTCTGTAGGCTAAAATTCAAACGTACAAGAATATGCGCTCTCTGTCTTCTTTGTATGTGGCGCGTAAGTGTAATTGGGGAAATGCACCCTTGTTTACACGCTGAAATACACGGACGGAAGCTCGGCAACGCGCTTGGGTACGAAAAACAGACAAATGCGTGTACCAAGTATTGCGATTGTGATCATTTACACAATGCGCAAGCGTACGTCTTTCTTTCGAGGTAAAATCTTTCCGTGGAAGCTATACAGCCCATGGACGAGATGTCACACTAAGGGGAGAACAGTTGGAGATAGTGTATCAGGGTAGCCAAGTGTCTTGCGGTAACTACATGATGGGCACACTGAATGATGTGCATGTAGGGAATGCGCGTGAAAGACCATTTAACGGCCTCGAAGTATTATAAGAATGGTCGCCTTTACCAAAACAAGGACTAAGACTCAAAAAGCAAACTTCGAGTAAAACAGACTAAAGACTGAGGATGAATGATTATCTCAATTGTGTCCTTCTATCTTGCTAAGATGGCTTTTTGTGTTCCTCGAGCCTGATCCAATGTATATACATATACATACATGCATAAATATGTATAAGATACATTGTCAATTGAAATAAGCCGAGGCGAAGGATACCAAGTACAATGAGCTTAAACTACGAATATGTGCGCAAATTATCTGGCTGCAGCATATGTATGTTTTTTTATTGTATCCCGCCTGCGTTCAACCACTTTTCAGCCGTAATGTTTCACTTTTAACCGTACTTTGATATTCGTGTAACAACTCTAAAACGAAACTTGTACTCTAATCTGAAGATCTCTCGGTGTTTTATGCAACTGTGTGTAGACTTGCGTCGAACTTCCTGCTTTCAATACTTCCTAGGCAGAGTGAAAGTTCAATTTCAGCTTTAAATACCACCTTCAGCCATTTCTCATCCACAAAATAAAATATCACATCAATAATCGATGATCGACTTTGAATTTATTTTAATAAACTTGTAACAAACTAGAAACGCGGTGTTGCACTCAGCCATGTGTCGATACACGTCGGACTGCCATCATTCAATCAAGGACAAAGTCCGTCTACAACAGCGCGGAAATTCGAATCTAATCTTTATCAATATTCTACTAAACATCGCAAGAATAGTGGTATACGCTACCGCAATAGCTTAGCCAATTACATTAGACATTGTACGATACGACCAACCTATATTCACCAGGAGCGATGTGGCTCATATCGAAACTCTGCTAGAGCCGCAAGCTATCCTCTTTTCCTTTGGTAGCTCAGGGCTGAAGTCGATGACAGTTACATATTTACAACGAAGTACATTGTTCAGTATGTTACTGTATCTTCCGCGAGGCTAAATACTACGGTACAGGTACACATCGCTCGAAGGTGCAACTTGCCATCCCGCCTGCTGTATACCAAGCCTTTCAATCCCTACTCCTGAAGTAACCGGCCCAGCTGTACGATGTATTCCCCCGCTTTTGATTCACGTTTCCCCTGTCACAGGCTATAGGTCTACTATTTCAACTGCTACCACCACAAGCGAGACCTATCGGTCCGAAGTAGTGTTCCCGAATGTCAATATAACTCCCCATGACGGAGCCTCTATTCATACACACACATGCATCTATACATATACACAACATAAGCACTGTGCGTATAATCTGTGTACCGGGAGGCAGCCACATCTATACAATAGTCCTCCCCGTGTGTTTTATTATATCCTCCAAACAATATGGCTCAATACGCCGTCTTGGAGAAGGACACGCGCAAATGCATGTTGTCGTGAATCTGGTGGTTATGCAGTCTCACCAGCGCGTCTACTGCCTGTCCTTTGGAAGTGTAGGCAACCAGCGCCATCAAACGTATCCGCTCGGTATCGCGTGGAGTGCTAAAGAAAAAGATTGTGGTAGAGAATAAGTGTCTGGTATCTATATGAATGAAGCGAAGGGGTGTTCATTTGAAACATATATATACACATTAAAATGTTCGTGTGCGTGAAATGCGATAGTATGTCCTGTGGAGGTGTAGGCAACGAGCACCATCACGAATTTCAGTCCGGTATCACACAGAGTTCTACAGTAAAGCACCTTAGTAAGGAATATGAGTGTATGTATGGAGTATTTGAAACCTTGTGTTGTAAAAATGAACAAACTCAAGCTAAAAACAGCACATTCAGATCCAATTTTGAAGTACATGCTACTGTCGAGTATTCGTAATATCATCATCCAACTAAATTTCCTAAAATCAGAACCACAACAAGACAGAACCATATTCAACTAACATGGTATAAGCTGCTATCCTTCATTCTAGTGGTGTAAACACCATACCGATACAACAGACTCCACCAACACTCAATTACCGGCACAAACCCACACGTATATAATATTCTACTCTCCACTCCCACATACTGATTTTTCTTGATACCATACAAATACAACAATCTACCCCCACATTCACATACGGAAAGAATCTCAGGCCAATGACCGTGCCAAACCGTGAGCACAGCTCTTTCAGTTCAGTTTCGGGGGTGTCTGCGGGTATGTTACTCAGGTGCAATGTACTTGACGGGGGCGCAATGTTCCCGTAATTCTTCGAGCCTATAATCCGGAAGCGGTGTAGAGATGATTTGCTGTAGTCCTTGCACAGCGCATTTTCGTTGTTGTTGGCGTTCTGTGAGCGTGCCTTCGCCGAACGCTTCTTCCTCTTGCTCGTGTTGGTGCGTGTGTTTGTGTTTGTATTTGTGGTTGCGTGTGTGTTTGTTGTTGTGGTAGTTGTAGCGGCTGGGTTGTCAGGGGTTGTGTTATCGGAAGTGATAGGGACATTGCCCTCTAGGCCAGCTGTAACTGCCGCCTCGTTGCTACCACTCTGTACAGCGTTGGAATCATCAGCACTCTCGGTGAAACTACTATTGGTCATACTTGCAATTTTCGCTTTGCTCCTATCGGGAGTATTGCCATCACTCCTGCTTTTACTATTCGATTCCGTATTGCTGGCACTATCTGTACTCTGGTGGCTACCTTCCGCGGCAGTCATTGTTGCATCTGTGGTACTATCGGCCTCGGAACCCGATGGAGTGTCCGTACCTTCCCCTGAACAAGCATATATTCCTTCTCTGTTCTCTTTGTTTACAACTGTGTCGGACTTCGAAGTCCCACCCATCTCGCCCGTTGTAGTATCCTTGCGCTTCAGCGTATCACTCGGTACCATCATTTGAGCCTGAGAGTGTGACTGATCCGTTCCGGTCTTTTCGCCTTCGGAAATCTCGCTATTCGTGTGCCCAATCACACCCACATTCGAGTTTTCTCGATCCAAATCTTCGTGCTTCTCAGTCCCCGCCACTTCGTCACTGACAACTTCGGACGTAGATTTCGCTCCCTATTTAGGGGTTAGGTTCAATAGTACGTTAATGCACAATCAATTCTATCAGTGGAACTCTCGATTTGGTTTTCAGAGTTTAGAAAGTATTTTCGTTCGAACATAATTTGAAATAATTTAAATAAGGGAGTGGAAAGACGAGAATGTGACACTTTCTCCACACACATAACACAATGACAATCGATTTAAACCGCACAACACAGTAATGACATGGAATTTATATACATCAAACTGAACATATCGATGCATGTATACAAATGAACATATACATATGTATTACAAAAGAAGCCCAAGTGTATGCAATACATACATGGCAGTTTCGCGCGTCCCCCAGAGTTTCTCCCACCTCCAAGCCACCCGCGTCGGCGACCATGACATATTGAGCTTTGACCATTGTCACCTGCGCGGTATCTGCGGCTGCTGCGGCTTCCGCATTTCCTGCAGCTTTTGTGGTTGTTGCGGTTTGACCCGTCTCGTGCGCATTGGGCAGAGTAGCTGCATCGTCGTGACTGAGAGCGTCCGCCTCCCCCTCAGCCGATACAGTGCGTGGTGCCAAGTTTTGGGCTTCGCCGGCACCGTGGCTTTCGCTTTCCACTTGACATGCGTTTTCCACAACACCGCTACCATCATTCGACACACCGAATACACCCGACTCGTTCTCTGAATCCTCTGTTGGTGTCTCGTGGAACCTACATTCGCCCTCCGTTGCCATGGAATCCGCGCCTCCAAGCTCTGATCCAGCAGAGCTGCTTTCTGTCTCAGAATGCACTGTTTTCAGGTTGCTAAGCACTTTTGAGGTTCCGTCTTGGCTGCTGAGCATGCTTGGTAGGCTATGAGCACTCGTTCCTGATACAGTGGCTTGTGCTGGTACATCGTTTGCGAGTGCGCCCTTTGTATCTTTGTCCAAGGATTCCACCCCGCTCGTGTCACCGACTGCAGGTATTGGCAAGGTGAGAAAGTTTCGATAAGGAGTCATACACATTAAAAACTTCACACCACACCTGTGTAGAAATGGATACCCCAAAATAGTAAAAGCATGAAGCCGAACAGAAATTAAGATACGTCAATTACAACTAATTATAGTTTGTCAAATCAAAAAATAAGCTTGAAGCCCACACAAAGTAAAAATTGTACGCATCTCAAAACTGCAGATATAGCCAACAAAGACTAAACTGTGACGAACAGGCGTGCAAAACGAGACTCTTTTTAAGCTTCACTGGGTTGACAAGATAAAGGGTGAACAATGCTGACAGCGATACCCGCAAAGGCTCAGTGTAGAGCATCAGAGAGCATACTCTTGATGAAAGAAACGAACACAAAACAAAATATGACTTACCTTCCAAATCACTGGTTGTCATGACAACGCTGTAGTCTTGGTTTGCGGTGCCGGTGCTCACACAGCCCCGACCTGAAGACAGCATAGCTACATCCGCAATCGTATCCGCGTCTGTGTGGGTGGCTGTCTGTACAATTCCTCTCGCGCCAGTGGCCCCCATCTCATCAGTCACTATCTTCAGGGATGCACTCTCTTCCGCACCCATACTCCCGCGTGCAAGGGCCTTTGCGGGTGACTTGTGGGATGTGCTCCCCTTTCCAACAGTTGTTTTCACCAAACTCTCTCCCCGGCCCTTGCCACCCCGTCCCGCGACGATGTCCGCGGCAGTCAACACGCCCTGTTTCTGGCGGCTATTCTCTGGTAGGGATTGCAAGCTATCTGAGCGTGATGTGTATGGCTGTGTCTGTGCTTTCTCGTGTCTGTGATGTACAGGAGTGTGTACGTTTGTATGTGCCTCCCCATTAGGCTGTGCCTTCGAACTGCCTCCAGTCAGCTGTCCCTGAATACCATGGTTACCCTGCATCTGCTGCGTGCGCTGTTTTGATTGGTGCAGCCGCTCTTCCCGTGTGCGCGCCCCACGACCACGCCCATATTTGGTAGTGGGTGCGAAAGTGCCCGTAGACTCTACCCATCCCATACCTACATCCACACTACCCATGGTAGACATGCCGCTGGGTTTTAGATTCTCGGCAGTATTACCGTTGTCCGTGACGGTATCAAGAGTCGCTGCGTACAAGTGTGCGTGTTGGTTGTAGTTCGGTACAAACTGACCCGTCACATCCCAACTCCCTCCCACATTGAGGCTCGCATTGAGCGCACTGTCTGGGGTGATATCGGCAGTGGGACTAGACGAATCGGTACCGATGGCGGTGATATGGCTACGTCCGTAGGCTTGGAATGGCTTCTGCTTCGATGCACGCGCGCGTGCGTGTTCGTTTGTGTGTGGGTGTGTGACCATACTGCATGGAGCACTGATGTGTGCCTGTGTAGGTGTTAATTTGTGGTTGTCTGGATGTTGGTGTGGTGCTTGGTCTCCCCCGTTTTCTCCGCCACAGAGCCCGCCGAAACGGGAGTCGTTCAACGAATTCTGGGAGTACATTCCGGATATTCTTGGCATTCCTTCCGTGCTCTTCTCTGGCATCTCAGTGGCGCGCTGGTGACTGTGTGCGTGATGGTGAGTGTGATGCGACGAGAGCCGAACTTCGGGATGGCGTGATTGAACAATGTGCAGATCTTTTCCAAATAAGGGCACGCCGTTAAGATGGATCATAGCTGCGTATAGAGAAGGTGGTAGGTGGAGTTGGAATTAATACAAATGAAAATTGTAATTTAGAGGTGCAAATGTACCTCCGGTACAGACACGATGAGGTGAGCCGAGCGAAAACGCGTTGTGAACGTCCTATTTTTCCTCTACAATGACTGAACGCAACAGGATCTTCAGCCGATCCACATTCGATTGCACATGAGGGGATCGTACAGTTCCAGTATTTTGACCAGTCACTACGGAACATACCAGTTCAGCCTGCAAGATGTATATGCAGCAGCGCCTACTTAGGCTGCTTACAACCGAGTGCGTGCCGAAGTGTATATACATATATGAAGGTGCATGAATATTTCAATAATCCTACTCTACACAACAGAGTACATGCGGGAGTGCATATGCATATAAGAAGGTGCAGGAATACTTGTAATCTTACACTGACTTGAGCAGAATGTATGGTAACTACAAAACAACCCCAGACAAGCCCTCGTGTTCTCTTGGTGGATTTGCAACAACATGGACTCGGACTCTTCATGTCGAATATTCACCCGTTACACATACAAGTGTATATATACATACCTTAATACAAACTTACATTAACGTTAATCAGGTGTACATTTTGGGTATACTAGAAACATACCTAGATACGCCTGCATGTTCTCCTTGATTTGTATCAGAGCGGACTCGGGCTGTTTGTACAGAATCTTAACCCGTTGCACATCCGAGTACACGCCAAAGAGTGTAAAGAGAATATCTGGAGTAACCAACTCAGTGTTGAGATTGCGCACTTGGAGCACACACGGTTGTGAAGGTCCCACCCGCATGCCGGCTGTAGTGTGAGGCACAATACGTCGTAATGAAGTAAAAGGGTTAGTATGGAGACACATGTATGTGTATGTATATATTCAAGGTGTGAATGAACATCGGGCTAATTTCAGGTGTGTAGATATAGGTAGAAGTAGGTATCTGTCTCTCAATGTTGAGATTACGCAACTGGGAGCACAATGTTGGGAAAGTCTTGCCTGAGTACCACATGGAATGAGAGATGAAGTAAGCTATCAACCACGACGGTCGCTATGAGTATAGATGTGGGCAGAAACATGTGAGGTATAATAAACAACGGCGTATACATATCAGATCTTTTCAATATATTATATACAAAGATTATAAAACTATGAATCTGAAGCGATGACTGGTGTATTTTATAGCTTCAGCAATACGCTGACGTTCACAAACAAATACATATCGACTTTCTACCTGCCGGAAGTTGTGTGACTTGGAAAAAATACACAGAGTAAATATAACCTCAATAGATATGCGTTCAAGTCTTACAGCAATCCTACAGCATAGGTAGAATATATGTAAGTAAGTCCCATACATCACCAGACTTGCTCACGCACACTCAAACATATTTACGCTTTTATCCTATCTTTGTCCTGAAAAGCCGAAAAATGACAGAATGCACCCCTACGTTCAGTTACACTGCACTCGTATACAGAACATTTATCTGGCTCAAACTCCTATCTGATAGGCACATCAAACTTTTAGCTTGTACTTGACACGAACAACTATACGTTCCCCTTTTACGAGTGTATCATACCTCCTAACCACATGTTGTCGTATCCGTGCACCGGGTGGTGGTGAAGCCCAAAGTCCGCTCCGATGGGCAACGAGGGATTAGTGAAGTCCCTGAGGAGCAATATATATGCGTATATATATATATACATATATATACATATATATATAGTATATAGTATATATACTATA